TCACTAAACACATCCCACTGTATGAGAAGCGTAATGTTTCAGCTCTTTGTCCAAAATAGCCCGTGACAATATAATGCTAATGATTGAACAATTTAGAATCATCAGCAAACTTGGCCACCTCACTGCTGCTCACTCTACCCCTAGATCGTTTATGAACAAGTTAAAAAGTACAGGTCTCAATACCGATCCCTGAGGGACTCCACTTTTTACTCTCCATTCAGAGAACTATCCATTTATTCCTATTCTTCTTGCATCCTAACTAATTCCTGATCCACAAGAGGACCACTCTTATTCTTTGACTGCTAAACTTACTTTAGGAGTCTTTGGTGAGTCTTCTACAGTTTGGCACACCTTATGGAAACACCACATCCTGTAAACGCACAAATATTTGAAAAACATTTTCATAAGTTTGTTATAAGAAAATGTTCAGAAGTATATATGGTACTTTGATGTTCATCTCTCACTGATTCACTGGTTAGCTATAGATCTAGTGAAAATATCTTCCTGACAGGTTTAGAGTTTGGAAGTTTGAACCATTGAATTATTTTGCCACCTGATTTTATACATACACACACACACCCCTTTAATTGCTGGGGGTTTGGGGGTGGGGGAAAGAAACCTTTAAAAATAAATGTACGTAGGTTTGCAATTATCCTACCATCTTTTCTTTTTCTTCTTTTTTAAAAAAGAGCCTGTCAGACATTTTAAAAAAGCATCACAAATACCATTTTGCAGCCACATGGTGGCAGAGCAGTATAAAATATCAGTATGATCAGTATGCATTCATGAAGATGGATCAAAGATGTAACCAGCTTTTAGTAGTAGAACTGGAACACTTCGCTTTTTTAATTCCCGCTTGTGCCGGGGGTATGTCAGAAAGAATTTCCAACAGTATTCTATGTCACACACATAAATGATTGCAACACAGCTCTGCATCACAACTGGAATCCACCATACAATCTGGTACTATATTCCCAGCAATACCAGTGTGTTTGCACAGTCTCCAATGAGGCATTTGTGTGACAGTATTTCTCAACAGAAATGGATAAACTGCATGGGTAAGTCGCTTGGAGACTATAGGTGACTATTGCTGAATTACAACTTATTACCAAACTGAAAACTATGGAGAGACCTGGTCTGAATAGAGATATTGGACTCTTGTCTCATTACACATGCTAAAGCTATTTTTGGTCATCTGCATACTATCCCTTGCTTTTTCCTGTAGGACTAATTGCAGTCGTTAACAGTCGTCAACAGGTTTACCATACCCATTGAGCCAATCACCCATCTCCTACTACCCTTCTGAGAAATACCCCACCCCACCCTCCCACTATATATGAGGGTCTGGTGACTTCTGCTTCAGTGTATTTGAAGAAGTGTGCATGCACATGAAAGCTTATACCAGAACAAACTTAATTGGTCTATAAGGTGCCACTGGACATTTTATTTTTATTTTTATTTTGACCTCAGTTTCTGCTTATCAATTCAGGATGGCAAAGTTTCCTGCCTCGTTTTCCCAAAATGTCCTGGGGCAGGCACAAGTAAGTACAAGAAAAATGCAGGTACAAAACAGTACATTATAAATACTTCAAAAATGCAGTATCTTCATATTCCTGAGTAAAGTTAGATACACAAAATAACTGATAAATGTGCATTTATTTTACCAAAAACAATAAACCCCACATAGTGATTGAATGGAATATCAAACCAGCCCGTGTGTGTGTGTGTGTGTGTGTGTGTGATGCTGTAGGATACCCCAAGGGACTAGGGTCACAGCTATAGGAGATAAGCCTTATCTAAAGTACTCACCAACACAGGCAGGATTTCGGATGCAGCACAGTCCAAACAAACCAAGGTTAAGCACAGAGTATCAATCTAAGTCCATACATGAGCCAGAGACAGATATAGGCAACACTCCAAGATCAATATCCAGTGGCGTAGCGTGGGTTGTCAGCACCCGGGGCAAGGCAAGTAATTTGCGCCCCCTAACCCGTGGATTTGTGCCCCCTAACCCGTGGATTTGCCCTAACCCCAGATGTTGCGCCCGGTGTGGCCGGCCCCCCCTGCACCCCCCACGCTACGCCACTGTCAATATCACTGGGAGTTCAGACAAGGTACACCAAAAGAAAGGCAACTAAGAACCAAATATCGTATGTTGCTTTCAAGACTCAATAATGAGGTCTTACATACTCTGACCTCCTAAACCACACCCTAAGCACACTGAAGGCACATCAGAGGTTGCTTACTCATGAGCAAGCCCCACCTCGCCCTCACTCACAATTAGACTGACAACTCTGGGTTCAGATCCAAAGCATTTGGTGCCGGCCACGTTCCATCCTGACAACTCCAGGATTTCATCAGGTTTCAACCCAGAGGACTCCTCAAGGGGATCTTCAACACTGGGTTATGGGAGAGGCATGACAATGAACATGTTGGCCCATATAGTCTGCCTTCAACCTTCATAAGCATTTAGTCAATGAGCTGTAATTGAGTTGTTTGGATAGTCTTTAAACTCCTTTGAAGAGAAGGCACAAATTGTTGTTGCTGCTGTTGCTGCTGTTGCTGCTGCTGCTCTTCAGGCAATTATCTCAAAACGGAAAATAAATTCATCTTAATCTGAGGTGTATAAATAATATCATGTAGGAGACAGTCAGATCTGCATTGTTGCGCCATGAGACAAGAACACTGTCGGCCCTACCATTTGGTCAAGTGAGGCAGTTGCAGATGCAGGGGTGCAGCAGGAACTCCTACAGCCCCCTCCCCCAGCCGTTCTCCATTGTTGAAGATCAGAGCCTGTCAGACATCTCCTAAACTAGTCTGCTGCCCTCAGGTAGATTTGAGTGTATGGTCCTGTTGTTAGTGCTAAAGTAATATTCAACTGCCCATCCAGTCAGTTTCTGTACATGAAATGATGAGTAAGAAGGTGACATTTTGTCAGACAGTAAAGTATCTTGTTCTGGGCCTGGCTACTAATGTTGACAGAACTATGGGCAGGGCCTCTCCCACAGATCTTGTCACAAGATGGAAGGTGATAGGAAAGCTGGTCCTTCAGTCACTTGGGCCATAAGCCATATAGGACACATGCCCAATCCTACATTGCAAACAGTGGCTAAGGGGGTCGTGCCTACCTTGATTGTCTACGCTTTGCTTCTTTCCCCACACTACCACTTCCTAGGATATGAGAGCCCAGAGGAAGCAGTAGCAGATACTGAGCTCTGTGCACCTTCTCTTCCTCTTAGAGCTACAGGAGACTAAGATCTAGGGGATCCACCTGCAGTGTAATTCATAAACATTTCTACCAATGACACAGGCCGATTCAAGACATTTTGCTGCCTGAGATGGAACAGTAAAAGAACCCCAGGCAAAGTACATAGCGCACAAAGACTGAGGATTATTGACTTTTCTGTTTTTCTGGGAAATAGTAGGCAGAGGTAAACCTAAGGAACCTCTCATTTAGCAACTGTCTATGCTGAGAGGAGGGTGTCTGGGAAATGACACTAAATGAGGCCTGATCTTATCCAGGCCAAGTCTAAGTGCTAGATAACCATCAGTTGTTCAATTGTTTTAATGGTGGATGGTATGAATAAACTGAACTTTAGATAAAAAGAGTCAAGAATAGATTTCCGTTGACAGAAGAAATCTCTAGCTGGCCCCTGAATGTTACTGGAGATAATGGTGTGTTTTTCTGTCCTCTAGACAGGGAGGATGGGAGGATCAGAGTAAAGGATGAATACCCACACACTTTAGCTAAAATCTCCAACTAAGAAGTTTGGTGCTGAAGAGAAGCCATATTGCATGGTTCAAGTCTGATTAAGTTTTATATTGTTACTGCCTTTAATCTGGGCATTCCATTATCAGTTGTTACACGAAGAGGAAATGGAAAATCAGGACCATACTGCTGATGTTTCCTGCTTTATGAAAGACAAATTCACCTTTGCTATACTGTCTTTGGGTCTAACACTTGGCATGGATTCTATTTAGCAAGACTTTATCTGCAATATGCTCTTAATTCTTTCTTATCAGATTATAGTGATTATAAAGTTAGCTCCCTAATGAAGCGTGGCTATGGCCCCATTCAGCAATCTATCTGTGTTTACCCAGTGCTAAAGGCTCGTTGGATGTCGCTTTTACTCACCAATTAAAAATGCCAAGGATATTCAAATAACCCAAACATAATTCTGGTATTCATTAACCTTTTTTGCAAACAGACTTAATATGGGGGGTGGGGTATTTTAGTGCTATTTTTGTTAGTAGTCCCATAAATGCTAAGAATTGCATACTGTATCAAGATTAATTACTTATTTAAACAACCATAAGGTCCTGGTCTAACTATATTGACTGGTAGCCAAGTTACTCCTTTGGAAAACTGAATATAGGTGACAACCATCACTGATCAGCAAATATTCACAGGACAATAAGAATGTAAGAAAGAGCCCTTCTGGACCAACCCAAACGACCCATCTAGCACAACATCCTGTTTTCACAGTGACCTGATCAAGGATACAGCCCAACAACAGCACTACCACCCACAAAAACTGGTGATCTTTATATATATAAATTATTCCCCAGATGCAGTTTTGGGTTGCAGGTAAGTTCCAAAGCTGAAGGCTACTTCCCCCAATGCCATATTCATTCTTAAATAAAGAATGAGATGCTGCTGAATATAAGAGGCAGGGACAAAACATTTAATCCCATCTCTGTAGACTATGCAATGTAGAAGTCCACTCATGTACCCTTTCCCTAACCCTTCCTAGCTTTTCAGTACCATCTGTACCCTATGGTTGGAGAGGAAGTGATAAGTACAGTGGTACCTCGGCTTACAGACGCTTCAGGTTACAGACGCTTCAGATTACAGACTCTGCTAACCCAGAAATAGTACCTCGGGTTAAGAACTTTGCTTCAGGATGAGAACAGAAATCTTGCAGCGGCAGTTGGAGGCTCCATTAGCTAAAGTGGTACCTCAGGTTAAGAACAGTTTCAGGTTAAAAACGGACCTCCAGAACGAATTAAGTTCTTAACCTGAGGTACCACTGTACCTCACACATATCTAAAGGGGGAAAGGACACAACTATGCTTCCTTTCATTATGTCCATGATGAGAGGTATACATTAAAATATTTAACATTGTATAGCAGCACCCGCTACTCATAGGGCCATTAGGTGTGGTAAACATAAAATAAATGAGGAATCCTATTTTGGTGTCAGTCCCTGCTATATGTAATATGCATAATACATATGTGTAATAAATATGACTAGCTTCCCATTTCAAACTGTACAATTTTAATAACATCAATAAGATCTAATATCACAACTAATGCAATAACTGAGCTGTGCAATCTCAGCCTGTCTATGAACTCAATCTACTCTTGCCCCTCCCCCGTACCTTCAATACCCAAATAGTGATGTTTACTGACATTACAGGGCTGTTGTAGAATTACTGAGAATTGTTTGTGAAGCAATCTTGCTATACTGTATATGTCCTAAGTTTTATTAGCTTGTCTCTTGAATATTAGTGTCTGTGATTCTAGACATTCTAGACAGCAAAACAGTCACTGCATATATACCACACTGCTCAAAAAACAGTGGCAAAAATCCCAGTTAATTTGAACAGTTTACATATAACAATAAAAAGCTTACAGTGGAAAAACAACCATGGTTTTAATTGTGCACCGCCAATGTCTCAGAAGAATAAAAGCCCAATCTCTCATCAACACAGTATATTGTATATTCCCCATATTTTAACACTGCCACATTTTACAATGGACCAATAAGCCAAATGTAAATATTTACACATGTGAAATCCAGCATGGATTTTTTTTTAAGTAAGCAAACATTCTGTGGAATAGATAACTGCAAATCAGGTTGCAAGATAATGCCTGAAAAAAACATTAATAGAAAAAGTGGTCCCCATGACTACTGGCCTCTCCTACTCGCTGCCTCCTTATTGGTTTCTCTCTAGAGCTTGCCTTACTTCTTAGTTTCTCTCTCAGAGCAGTGGCTCTTGACTGTGGTGATTTCAGTTCTCGGAAAAGCTCAGAGCATCAGTTTGCTTCAGAAGACCGTGAACCAAAGGGGCTTTGCCTTTGATTGTAGTTAAAAGGGTCAAAATACCTCTGATTCCTTTCCAAGCAAAATGTATGTCGACTGATTTTGTCAATATTTAATATGAAAAGGGAAAGAAGACTGGTCAAAGCAAGGGAGAGGAAGTGTTGTGTGGATTTTCCAAAAGGTAAGAAGTTGGGGCATTCATAAGACTTTGTTATTTTTTCTCTTTTACTTGCCTTGTGGCCAGGATCCAACCCTCCTGTGCGTGAGTGGCTGCTGCTGGGAAGGCGAGGTGAAAAAGTCCCGATACACAAGTGGGGCTTTATGTTCAGCACCATTTTGGATCCTTGTAATTGATCCCAGTCTTATACAGATGTATAGTTTGAAGTACCTTCCCTCCCCGCTCTGATGTCTAGAATTTAAGATTTCATATTATTTCATTTGAAATCTTACATTGGTCATTTTGGGGAGGTGATATCTGATCCTAAATAATTAAGAGTTCAACTTTAGAAAGCAATTGTGCATGAGAATGAGATTGAATTGATTGCCCGAATTTTATGTCCATGTGATGTAATAACTATATTTTAACAGCTGCTTGAATTAAAGCTGGGTGGCAAATAACTTTTTCTCTTGTATCAAAATAAAAAACATTGTCCATGTGAATCTTTATGGAAAGGAATCATTCATTAATGCTATATTTATGAGGAATACTCTGTGTATTCCACATACAGAATACAGTACTTGACAGTAGATACCGCAGTATGTAATCATCCTTGGTATGAACATAGAATGTTGGTTTCTATCATCAGTTTTCATAAAACTAAAATGGAAATAATAATACTGATTGCATAATGCATTGTGTGAAGAGAGACTAGAGATTGAAAAAGGGCTTCTCTGCTCCCTACATTGTTTGGATCAGGTATCTTCAACCTTTTCAGTCGCAGGAGCCACTTCTAACCCAAACATGCATCTGGGGACCTGTTTCTTAATCTTTTATTATATAGTAAAAGTGGTAGTGATTCTGTTGCAACCATTCTTGGATCAGGCTGCAACCCACAAGACCCTTTGCACATCCCTGATACAGTTTTGCACCTTAGTTTTCAGCACACAGGTCGTCAGAAAATTCTGCTGCTTTTGGTTTTTCACTCTCAATGCCTTCTTCTACTGAGTTCTGTGGTTCCGGGACTGCATACTTGGGAAACTGCTTATTCCCGAGGAATCTTGGTAAAGTTCCATTCTAGCATTACTTTGAAGTAAATAAATAGTTTCAGTATTGTAGCTCCTGGCCACACTCCTACAATGTGGGTTGGGAACATATAAGGTGCTATACTCCACCTCTCTCCATCACACACACACACACACACACACACACACACACACACACTGTCTCTCACTAACACATACATTTTTATTTTTCAGAATTCCTATTATATATCAAAAGGTAATAAAATGATATATATGCAAGGTAAAAAAAATAAGAAAGTCAGAAGCTAGAAATAGAGCATGTAAAGATAATTTTTAATAATTAAAGTAACAACAACTGATATGATGGAAGCAGCATTGTAAAGAAATTTTAATTTCATGACTTCTGGTATAATGAATAAAAGTAATAAAGGAAAACCAGATATCACAATTTTATTATTGAGAAAGTATTTCTATTTCCATTTTGTTACGTTTGCTGGGCTTTGTAGATGCCTCTCCCCAACAAAAGTTACTGTCTGTTTAATATGTGAATTTTCTTGCATGTCATAAATCTGAATGTGCTTGGTAACACTGAAACTTAGGTACAAAATACCAGCTTAAAACACAGACTGGCTTTTCCCCCCCTTCTTAATTCAGATTTAAGCTGGTTTGAATGAAAACACATCAAAAAGCAGTATTTCATAAGAAACAACATGATATATAGGGATTGTAGCTAATATCGTGTGTATGCCACTTCCCAAGCTAGTAGCGGATTCCAAGCTAGCACACTGGATGCAGAGTAAACAGGACTGTGTACACAGCCTCAGCTAAAAACAAAGCACCCACCTGCAGAAAGTCTTTGGTTTAACACCTGGCAGCTGATAACTTGGTTTACAGTACAGCAGCTGCACCTCTGCATTCACGCAGTGGAGGAGATCCTGGTTTCATCCCTCCCCTTTTACCCCCTAACTATCCACGGTTTATGTGTTAACAGTGTTATCCACCTTTTAAGAGTTCTTTTGTGCCGTATATTCCAACCCTAAAGTCAAAGATTATTGCACTCCAGCTCTGCCTAATTGCGCTCACCCACACTTTTAAGAGAAAAGTGCTATGAAGAAAAATCCTAGAAGCAGTACAGCCATTAAAAAGTACTGAGGCAATTCAAAGGCCCACATCTGACTAAATGGAATTTACTCCATGAAAGCTTATGTGACCATAAAAAAAAACATTACAGATAAGAATGACTGTCTGTTTAATTTGTGTTTCCTCTTAAATTTATACAGCTTGCAGCTTCCTCATCTCCGCTTTACCTTGTAACAGCAGGATACTCATTGACAGAGGCAAAGACTCATTGATCCTGGCTTACATTTCAGTGTCACTTCATTAATGGACCACGGTGAGTTATATTTTGGCAATTCAGAGGAAATGCCGGTGTATCAAGGCTCTGGAGACTCTGAAAAGTTTTGCTTTAACAGTGAAAGATGGGCAAATGAGAATTTATTGGGCTACATTCCTCCTTAGGTTTGGTAGCACAAACTCACATTGCGAAGAAACGTGCTGAAGCCTAAATCCAAAACAATGAGCTGACACATTGAGCTGAGTTTTTGCCTGAATATACGTGGGGCTTCTGGAGGGAGAAGAGAAATCTCTAGACCACACTTTTCCCAGATATTTTCCTGCGCTAGCCAGGTGTTATCTGCCTACATATGGCACTTGCAGGCCTCCAACATCCTCTGTACTTAGATGCTGACCCCTTTGTCCATCCACTCTCATTTCTGAAACTCAACTTTAAAACTGATAATTTGATAGGTGTCTTTATGTGTCCATACTAACTACCTGGAGAAACACTCTCTCCCAGGCACCTCTCATCCCTGATCTGGTGAGGCCAGCTGTAATTGATAAAGTATTGTTGTATCAATATGGCTCGATATTGAATTATGGTTTTAATGCTTTTATTGAATCTTATGGTTTAAATGTGCATGTTGTAAACCAGCCTGAGATCTTAGTTGACAAAGGGCAGTTAGTAGGTAAATACGTAATGCCAATGAACTCACTAGCCACATCACATCATTCATCTACAGGACCTTTTTAGGATTTAGCACTTGGAGGTGCAAGACAGCATATGAATATGAAACCCCTTTGCAAAATGTCAGGGTGACATGCACTGTAAGAAACTGGATTTTTATTTTTATTTTGGATTTAAAGAACAAGAGTTAGAATTTTGCACTCTAAATGATCTGAATAGAAAAACAATTATATGGGTTAAACAAATAAGCATCAAAGATCTTCATTTGTGTAGTTTATTCTGATTGGGGGGTGGGTGGGTGTGTGCGTGTGTAGAATACGGATATTGCTGTTAGGCACTGAGACAACAGGGAGGCAGCAGTATGGCACTGAGTTGCAATCCTAAACATACATACTAGAAAGTAGGTCACATTGATTCTTAACACACTTACTTCTAGTAAACATGCTTAGAATTGGACTGTTGAGATCTGATTCAGCCGTTCCAGCACATATGCAGGGATGATTATCCCTTCAATGTCAGGAACACTCACACACACACACACACACACACACACACACCTGTTGCCTGCGCAAAGCTGTCAACAACAGTAAAGTAAATCCGGTGTATCAGCTCACAAGGAGCTCAGTGTATGAACTGGAACTAAACACCACTTTATCTAGGGCAACTGATAGGATGTAGGTTCAGTCTTTAAGTCTATGAGTTTAAAGACAGCAGTGTCATTTTTCAAAATCCAAGTTTGCAGTTTGGGAGAAAAACAAGAAATTATGCCCCCAAAAGGTTAATCTCAACAGTGTGTAGTTGAGTGCATGTCCACTCCCAACACATGTATGTTCAAAATTCATCCAGGGTCATATATCACCAGGAAATGGTTCTCAAAGGGTTTGTTTTTCTTGAAGTATTCCTGCTGCTGAGACGCTCCAAAAAAGCAATTAAATGAAGCAAAGGACGTTGGAAAGGTGTGTGTGTGTGGTGGTGGGGACTTTCAATCTAAATTATGTTTGTGATTTCAGGGGTGTTTCATGAAGGATAAAACAAAAACATTCAAGAGCCTGGCATGGATCCGTCTGCTGCAAACAGCAGTAAGTTGCAGCTTTCACACTTTGAATCCTGCTTGCCTTCTATTCCTGCAATCTTCTTGCTCATCACAGCTTACGCTGTAGTCATGCTGGTGGGGCTCCTTGGCAACCTTTGCCTAATTATTATCATCAGGAAACAGAAAGAAAGCCAGAATGTCACCAACATTTTGATCGCCAACCTCTCCCTATCTGACATCTTCGTTTGTGTCATGTGCATCCCTTTCACTGTTGCGTACACTTTGATGGATTACTGGGTGTTTGGAGAAGCCATGTGTAAAATATCTAATTTTGTACAAAGTATGTCTGTCACTGCCTCTACATTCTCACTTGTGTTAATTGCTGTCGAGAGGTATCAGTTAATAGTAAACCCGCGAGGTTGGAAGCCTAGAATTTCACATGCATTTTGGGGAATTATTTTCATTTGGGCCTTTTCTATAGTACTGTCAACTCCTTTTTTTTTATTCCACCAAGTCACCGATGAGCCCTTTAGAAACCTTTCTTCCCACAGTGATATTTATATGAACAAAGTTGTCTGTGTTGAGGTATGGCCATCCCTTGAGGAGAGGCGTAGCTTTACCACTACAATGTTAGTTTTCCAGTACTTCTTACCACTAGTTTTTATTTTCATCTGTTACATGAAGATATTTGTGTGCCTTCAGAAGAGGAAAGGTAAAGTGGATAAGATAAGGGAGAATGAGGTCAGGCTAAATGAGAGTAAAAGGATTAATATTATGTTGATTTCAATTGTTGCAACCTTTGGGGCATGTTGGTTACCGCTGTACATATTTAACATTGTGTTTGACTGGAACCACGAGGCCCTGATCAACTGCCACCATAATGTGGTGTTTACTTTGTGTCACTTGGTAGCCATGATTTCGACGTGTGTCAATCCAATCTTCTATGGATTCCTCAACAAGAATTTTCAGAAAGATTTGGCTAGTCTGTTTCACAATTTCAAATGCTATGAATCTCAAGGGTTGTTTGAGAACATCGCCCTTTCAACTCTGAACACCGATGTGTCAAAGGGATCCTTTAAGCTGAACAACATGCCTTCGAATATCTGAAATGGGCAACCTTTGAATCATTTACATGTCTTTGTCATGAATTACTGTACTGCCAAGTTACTCTTACAGTATATGGAAGTGTGGCCTTCTGGCTCTTGTCAGCAAAGTCCTGTTCTCAAAGTGAAATCAAAAGCCTACCTGAATATTAATGTATCATTCAAATGAATAAAACAAATTGGATTAATAATATTTATTAACACCCCCATGTTTATTAAAGACCTTTACAGGAGCTTCCAATGTTGCAGTGCTAGAAAACTGGAAGTGTGGGAAGGAAAATCTGGAAAAGGAGGTACTGTTTGGATTGGAAGATGATGCAATATCCTGTGTGGGCTGTACCACCTGCGTTTTCCTCATGGTTCTCCTGGTCTGCCTGAATCAGTACTTCTGACAAAGGCCCCTTGACGTAATACCAATAATTAGTATCTTAAGCAACTGACTCTTAATGTCTGAACTCAAAAGATAATCGCCTTCTAAGAATTCCTTATGTGAAGCCATTTCCCTTTCTTTTCCCTTACTGTGCTCCCCCCCCCTCTGTTCTCAAATCTGCTCTGGAAGGTGGAGGGAACCTAGAACAAATTTAGGGAGTGCGTGGGGGAGGTGGGTACAGGAATCCCATTGCACAGCAGAAACCATACTGCTCACTATGTACATTCAACTACTATGTTGAATACAACCCATCATCTGTCCATTGATGCACTAGGTAATATGTCATTCTGACAGGTGCTGGATTGTATCAAACTCAATAACTGTGCATGCAGGACAACTTCTGTGAGTGCAATGGAACTTGCTCTCTACCCCCCAACACACTCCCTTTCCCAAATCTGCTATGGCTTCCCCCCCAACGCTCTGAGTCCCATCAGTGGGAGCCCAGCACAAGGATCTATAGCTGGGATAGCTTTGTCAGTTTGAGCACCACCTTGGGCAAAGGATTCCTACATTGCAGGGGGGTTGGACTAGATGCCCCTTGTGGTCCCATCCAACTCTACAATTCTATTATTCTATGCTTGTCCCCACTCTCCCTCATCACATGATGGATTAAAACCCCTGAATAATGCTTGCATATGGTAGAAATTGCCTGCCCACCTAGCAGTTTGAAAGCACATCAAAGTGCAAGCAGATAAATAGGTACTTCCAGCGGGAAGGTAAACGGCGTTTCCGTGCGCTGCTCTGGTTTCGCCAGAAGCAGCTTAGTCATACTGGCCAAATGACCCGGAAAAACTGTCTGCGGACAAACGTCAGCTCCCTCGGCCAGTAAAGCGAGATGAGCGCCACAACCCCAGAGTTGTTCACGACTGGACTTAGCTGTCAGGGGTTTACCTTTATGGTAGAAATGTTTGAATACGTATCCTCAATCCTGAAATGCAATGAATATGTGTTCTGACCACTTCCACCACACTTTGCAATGTATGTCTGCCTCTAGTCTGACCACTATTGTTGAAAACAATGTAAGGAATGATCAGGGTTCTTTTCTTTTCAATTAAGGTAATTCTGTTCTTTCATTCATAGACATGGTTGTTGTATTTTTACTATGCCGCTTCCTATGTCCTGAATAGCAGCCTGACATGCAAAATTAAAGAAGATAAAGAGATGGGGGGATTTTACATCCTAAATGTCTGCATGTCAAGCTAGTATTCAGGATACAGGGAAAGGATGATGACCTGAAATCCTATTGACAGAACTGTTGCCCTATTGATATAACTCAATAGCATATCACTGATTTCTCTGGCATTTGCTTTCAAATAAGTATACCTAGGATTGCAGACTGGGAGAATTTATGTTATGTTTCATCCTATAATAAAATACAGGAACTTGTAAGAGAAGTTCATTTTCCTGCAACACTTCATCGTTTTTAATGTAAAAAGCCTACCTGTGCTGCCCTTGGGCAGGGTGTAAAACTGCACCAATATCTTTCATCTGCAGCTGAATTGCTGTATCTTTGAATGCCCACATTCTTTTCTAAGAAGGAATACATGCTTTCCCACCTTTGTTTGAAAACATGAATGTGACAGAAACGTTTCCAAAACAGCCATTAGTTTAAGACAGATAGATTGGAGCCAGCCACAAGAAGCTATCCTGTTTACAAGGCAAAGACAGGTTTGAACTGCTTAAAAGATCATGAATCCAATGGAACTCTGAAGAGAGAAATCCAGTTAAAGTGAAACCATACAGAACATTTCAGACTAATACAGAGTGAAAAAATAATCTAATAACATGAACACTTGATACCTGAGTGCAAACTATATTTCTGTGAAAAGCAGCTGCCTCATCTAACCTCTGTGTGACTTCAGACTGGTTTTATTGACAAATAATGGTACAGTAATTGTATCTGTGGTAATGTACATTTGACTGGAACTGTTTAGATGTCATTTCTATTTATGATTCTCACAACATGTTTCAACTGTGGGGAACTGTTGGTATTTACATCTATTTTTTTGTATACCAAATGTTGTACAACTTTATATTAGTCTTGTGGTTTCGAGTGCTAAATTTTGTATGCCACTGTGAGCCATATAAATATTCACTCTGAAATATATCAATTATATCAAAATAACATAAAGATTGCCTTGCTAAGGATGTTCAAAGATTCATAAACACCAGGACTATGACCAGGCTCCAAAAAAGTAACTGCACTACTCTTTAGGGCTCCAAGTAAGCTTCCCACTGCAGTCCTAAGCATGTTTACTCAAATCAGCTGATGGAATGAAAGCTGTATATCTCACCTGGGAGGTTCAACATGAAATGAGGGAAAGGCACAGGAGGAAGCAAGACTGGCTGGCATTCAGCCTTAAATATATTTACTTGCAAATCAGTTGACAAGTTAGTGCGCTTAAGGTCACAGCCCAAAGACCAAAGAGTATATAGTTATAATTATAGCTGTCCATTATTTAATATTTACTAAATGAGTGATAGAGCAGGGTTGGGGAAACTGTGGCCCTCCATAGACTATTCTTCTTGCATCAGCCCCACTCAACATGGCCAGTGGTCAAGGATGATGAGGGTTGTCATCCGACACTTTCAAGATGGCAACAGGTTCCCTATCCCTGTGCTAGAAATGTGGAAACAGAGCTGACTGTCTCTTTAAGACCCACTCACACTCCCATTTATCCTGTGGTTTCAAGTCACAGGTCTGAGAGGATTGGTTTTTTTGGTCCCACTGCTTTCCCTGGGAAAATCTGCTGTTTACTGCTGAACTGGGAAAAAGTTAATTCACAGAAAACATAGAGATGGAATTTTAACCCCTTTCAGACCTGTGACTTGAAATCATAGGACAAAGTGTGGACGGGCCCCTGGTTTCAGGGCCCTTTTAATTTGGGAGGTGGTAAAGCCTGGAAGTGAAAAGAAGGAGTATATCCATTGTAGCACCTTTGGATATATTAGAAAGATTTTTAATATCTATCTCCTGCAAGTTTTGCTTGCTTTTGTTCAGTACAACTTTAATGGATAGGATTGCTTATGACTATCAGTGGTCGTTAGTTATGTAATGAGCACATATGATAGCAGCATTACTAGTGTGTATTTTCAGTGTGTTAGCTTACTGCTGTGTTATTGACAGAAGGTAAAAGCGGAGTGAAAAAAATGTCTGCCTATTGCACAAATGCATTATATGCTCCTGCTCTGGGAAGCTCATTGTTAAACATTTCAAATTACATTAAGTCCAAATAAATTTCCAAGTTTCAAATCCTGCCTCTCCAGCTGACTGTGAGTTTTACTCCTGACTTGCAGAAACTCTGAAGTTTCGCTTGTGGCCACAGAGGATCCTGCTCCATTGCTATCACACATTCTAAATGAGACTCGCACTGTTTTCAGGTGGGATTCGATCACACATTAGCAAATTCAGATCACACAACTGAAGCTGATATGGTGCTGTTGCATAACAAATCCACTTCTCTGCAAAACGGGACTGTCTTCATCTTAAGAAACGTGTGGGGAAATGCACTGGAAAATGTGGGGTAACATTTGCCTGTTGCAATGTCATTTAACGTCCCTATGAACAAATCCAGATGGGTGCTCAATAACCAGGTCCTCTGGAAGCAATGTGAGTTAAACCAAGAGTGCCTTCTTAACAACCAAGCTTGTACCACTCACACAGTCTTTCTCAATGCCTTCTGCTATTATTCATCCATTTATTTATTTCATAAAATTTATACACTGCTTGATTGTAAAACACCTCAAGGAGGTTTACAAGAAGATAAAACAATAAAATCAAGAAGAATTTACAACCCAGATTACAATTATCTCAACTTTCTAAGCCTCTGGGTAAAGGTAAAGGGACCCCTGATCTTAGGTCCAGTCGCGAACGACTCTGGGGTTGCGGCTCTCATCTTGCTTTATTGGCTGAGGGAGCCAGAATACAGCTTCTGGGTCATGTGGCCAGCATGACTAAGCCGCTTCTGGTGAACCAGAGCAGTGCACGAAAACACCATTTACCTTCCCGCCGGAACAGTACCTATTTATCTACTTGCACTTTGACGTGCTTTCAACTGCTAGGTGGGAAGGAGCTGGGACCGAACAACGGGAGCTCACCCCGTTGCGGGGATTCGAACTGCCGAATTCCGATCAGCAAGCCCTAGGCTCTGTGGTTTAGACCACAGTGCCATCTGCGTCCCTAAGCCTCTGGGTAGGTTTGTCTAAACAATAAAGTTTTTAGCAGGCTCTAAAAAGAGTGCAGGGGGACGCAGGTGGCACTGTGGGTAAAACCTCAGTGCCTAGGACTTGCCGATCGTACGGTCAGTGGTTCGAATCCCCGCGGCGGGGTGAGCTCCCGTCGTTCGGTCCCAGCTCCTGCCCACCTAGCAGTTCGAAAGCACTCTTAAAAGCAAGTAGATAAATAGGGACCGCTTTATAGCGGGAAGGTAAACGGCGTTTCCGTGTGCTGTGCTGGTGCTGGCTTGCCAGCTGCAGCTTCGTCACGCTGGCCACGTGACCCGGAAGTGTCTTTGGACTGCGCCAGCTCACGGCCTCTAGAGCGAGATGAGCACGCAACCCCAGAGTCAGACACGACTGGCCCGTACGGGCAGGGGTACCTTTACCTTTACCTTAAAAAGAGTGCAGTGAAGGCACCAAGGCATTAACACCTTGAAATGCAGTGAGGTGCCCCTCACCCCGCTGCCTTTCAAGTTGTATTTCCACATGGCTGTGTACACCAGAGAGGGAGCAGAAATGTCTTCAAACATTAAGGCTACAATCCTAAACACTAACTAGAGAGTAAGAGCCATTGAACTCAGTTAAACTGGCTTCATTCTGAGCATACAAACATTTGTTCATTCTGTTAGGCAGCAATCCCATCAGCAGTTACCTGTATTCAAGTCCAGCTGAACTCAGGAGGACACTTGCTTCCAAGCAGGATTAGAAATGTAGGCAGTAGGAGTCTGAGGGCCAAATTAGACATCGCATTACATGTATGCACTTAGCATGCCCACTTTTTCTCTTCTATACAACAGTGATTGGGATTGGGACCATAGCACATAGAGAGGAGAGGTTAACTTTTCCTCTCACCTTCCCAGTTCCATTTAATTTTTCCCCAATCTGCTATGAGTTGCAGGAGGGAAACTTCCACTGGCATTTCCTGGGTCAGATAATTTCTATAGTACCTTGAACCCAAATAATCAAGCTTTTAGGAATTAAACACAAGATGTCATGTAGCTCTTATCTGGTAAAACAGGCACTGGCTCAACAGTGGGAATAACACTTCCTAGTAAGCAAGTTTTAAAAGATGGGCACAACAAGATTGTGGTGATCTTACTTTGGTGGTTGATACACATTGTTCCTGGAAACTTTGGAATTATTAGTTGTGCAGATATTTTGTATTTTTAAAAAATGTATTGTTTTTATTGTTCTCTTGTTTGTTGATGTGGCTTCCTTTGGAAGGCATGGTGGGATAATATAATAGTAGTAGTAGTAGTAGTAGTAATTATTATTTATTTATTTATTTATTTATTTATTTATTTATTTATACCCCGCCCATCTGGCTGAGTTTCCCCAGCCACTCTGGGCGGCTTCCAATCAAGTGTTAAAAACAATACAGCATTAAATATTAAAAACTTCCCTAAACAGGGCTGCCTTCAGATGTATTTTAAAAATAGGATAGCTGCTTATTTCCTTGACATCTGATGGGAGGGCGTTCTACAGGACGGGCACCACTACAGAGGAGGCCGT